AATCTGGACTTGCTTCTTCAAACTTCACGCCTCGGCTAGAAAGATCGCGGACACTTCTGCTGTCATTTTTATCTATTCGTTTAATTGTTTATTAGTGTACACGTGTTGCGATGTGTACTGCGAACAGAGGAGGTATGATAAATTGAGGAAAGTAGGAGTGAACGCTGAAAGATGAGGCGAGAAATTAAATAGGAATTTTGAAACTTAAATTTCGTTGAGTATTTTTGAGCCGATTATGGGTGATTTTTTGGGGAGCAATTGGCGCCTTTTCCTAGGAAACCTGTCCTATGTTTCGCGCTGTTTGTTTCGTTTTCGTAACTGCTGTCGAATTATCCTGATTTAGTAGAGATTGGTTCGTGTGAGAATTGGTCACGACGATGAAGCAGGTCTTAACGCAAACCAGAGGCAATTCGAGGCAATTTACTGTCAACGAACCTTCCATTTTATGTCAATTTTATAATTTTCTAATAATTTCATTTCTTCGTGACAACTTAAGAAATTTCGTTGAAGTTCAGATTCGACGCTGAGAAACACGGCAGTGGACGTGTGACGATGAAAATCGTGACTCTAAACGACGTAAAACGATAAACGAAGCTAGGCCTGAGTTACGTAGGATCGTGGGTGGACTAAAAAGCGAGAACGAATGAGCGAGAGATTCCGTGAGTGACTATATAGTGAAGGAAGATCAATGGAAGAAAGACGAGAGTGTAATTATGTTGTGTGTAAATCTGCGCGAGAAGAAACCAAAGAGAACACGAGGAAAAATGAGATTGAAAAATCGCGCGTTCAAGAATGCAAGTGCCAAACTAAAGTTTAATCGTGCGACGCTCGTAAGCTTAGTGGTTCACTATCGAAAAGTCTCTTCTTAATAAGCTATCCCGATAGATATTACGATTAAAACAGGAAAAAAGAGATAAATTGAAAAAAAAAAGGGGAAATATGCGGTGATAGGGCTGAATATTCATGAGTTTTACCAAACGATCTTTTTAACTTGTTAAATGTATCGTGCTTCCCTTTTTACACGAGAGGGGAGAGAAAACAAGCGTGTATTTATCTTGTTGCCAAGCTTGTCGATCCACACACAAAATCGACATCGAGTCAAATAATAATGTATTATACAATTTGATCGTAAGAGTATCCTCGTGAACATCAGACGTTCCGATCGAGTTTTATACATCTCCAGCGACGAGCCCGAAGCCTTTTCATCTCTTGTTAAGTTATCTGTTAACGCGTGTGAGATGTCGAATCGAAATGTTTTTTAGCCACGATTAAACCTTTCTTTTTTCTTTTTTTTTTTACAACGAGAAAAGGGGTGAAAAGCCTTACACACGAACACATACACGTACACACACAGTGTACTGATACGTGAGATTCTCTGCAACGTTTAATGAAGATTTCAACGTTTTTAACTTAATGCTGCCAATGTTTCGTCGATTTTTAATCAGATAGAGAACGCTGATTGTGAATATTTGGTTTTAATACCAATCTACGAGTAGGACACTTCAAAACACAGGTACCTTTCGTTGCGACAAATTCATTTTTGTCCGCTTTGAAGAAGATGATGATGTAGAGACGTGTTTGTATAATCAGAATATTATCACCGATGTTATTTACCGTGTAGATAGAAGGGAAAAGTATTGAAAAAGAATGACGTTTAAATTCGGCTAGTCGCGATAAATAACGGAAGAGGGTCGACGAAATGAGTTATATATATATATAGAGATCGTTGTCGATTTGAATTAACAGCGTTTCTATAAACTTGCTAGGAGCTGTTGAGATAATTATATACTTTTAAGGTTGTTGATACTTATATTCCATTTTATTCCGTTGTTCTTGTTACATCGAGAGAAACCTCGCATTTCCGTCTCTCTTCCGCTTCAATTCATACCGGCCAATCCGACAATTTAGGTCGTCCGTTTGTGCACGATCGTTTCCGTCGAGTTGGCCCTCTCTCATCGACGAAAGTAAAAGCGCAATTAAATAATCTTTTTTCCGTGATATTCGAGAGACGCGTAAAAACCCATTGCAAGGGAGGAGATTGCGACGAGAGTTTAAAAGGGGTGAAGAAGAAGATGATGAAAATGAGAGAATACGTGGCTTCTAATCGTTTTATAGTATTGTAAGCCGTAATTAAATCGAGGAGAATGATTCTTGCAACACGCAGTGGCGTACTCTTGGATATGACTACCATTAAAACACGATAAAATATAATTCAACGTTGTCTCATTTACCGATTTCAACCCTTTCCTCGAACCCTTATTCTTTAGATTAAAATACATTGCAATTTACTTGAACACGATTTTTAAGAAGTAGAATAATCAATATTTGAAATTTACGAGCTAGAGCTATCACGATTTCAATTTAAGATTTCTTACAAATTAAGAAAAAAGTAATTTGCATTTTTAACAATACAATTCTTTACCATCAGCTGCAAAAACTGTTATTCTCTGTACCTACAGATGGTTACCATCTATTTCTACCTTAGTAGCAGCGAATAAAATCGATAGTCCACGCACTGTGTGTTCAACAGATGCTGCAAGAAGTTACCATCTCTCGGCAAGTAGTATGGATCAATAATAACACTTCCTCCCTGCTCTGCAACTAGTCAGGCAGAGACCTTCCTTTCCTTGACGCACAAAATGAGCAAATGTTCTCTCACTAATCTACCACTCGTAAAAGACTTAATTCACCTAAATATCAATTGAATTAAACATCCAAAAAACACTACCATCTCTTCCCTATCATAAAAATGAAACCTGACATAAAACCTATTAAACAATTCAATTTACACCACTTAATTACTCTCCAAAATACACAGCATCCTTGCAAAATCTGCCCTACCATCGCTCCAATGTACATTCCAAAAGAGGAGCATCTCCTTTTGCCCGACAATTTTCCTCCCATTCAGGTAATCCCATCAAACGCTACACCATCTCATCGGATCGAAGATGGTCGAACGGAGACAGTAAAGACAGGCGGTAAATAGAAGCCAGGATGCAAATTGAATTCGCTAGTCGAGCAAGTGGATACTCTTATTTCGCTGGAGGACCGTGAGTGGCTGATAGAGAGAAAATGGAGTATGGGGTGGATGGATAGGTGTCCTGTTCGTCGTCGTTCGAAGGATGCCTTGGGGAGCGACGCTTATATCGAGTTAGAGCCGTTTGAATACCGACGCGCTCTTCTTGGAAGGAGGTGGAGTCGTTGGAGAAGATATCGAAGGATC